CCCTTCAATGTCAACAGCATCATCAGCAGCATCAGCATCAGCATCAACATCATCGTGATCATCATTATCAAAATCAGCATTATCATCATAATCATCAGCAACATCATCATCACCATCATCATCATCATGAAAATCAGTACCACACCTATCACCATCGACATCGCCATCGCATTCCCAATCACAATCACGTAAAAAATCACTGTCGTCGTCCTCGTCATCGTCCTCCTCCTCATAATCATTATCATCATCATCCACATCGTCGTAGTCCTCGTCGTCACCGTCATCATCATCATCATCGTCATCATCATCACCAACGTCATCATGATCTTCAGAAACATCAGCATCAGCATCATCAACATCATCAGCATCGTCATCATCAGCAGCATCATCGTCGTCATCGTCATCAGCAGTATGCCCATCATCATCAGCAGCATCAGCATCATCATCATCAACATCATCCTTATCCTCATCATCATCGTCGTCATCATCATCGTCATCGTCGTCATCATCATCTTCATCGTCATCGTCATAATCATCATCGTCATCGTCATCGCCATCGTCGTCATCGTCGTCATCGTCGTCTGCATCGTCGTCATCGTCATCGGCACCGTCATCATCGTCATCGTCATCGTCGGTGTTGTCGTCGTCCCTCTCCTCCTTTCCCTGTGGTTCAGCTCCCGCTTCCTCGATCCACAGCCTCCTCTTCGTCCCCTCCTCCTCCTCCTCCTCCGCCGCCATCTCCTTCTCCTCCTCCTCCTCCTCATCATCATCATCAGCAGCAGCATCATCATCATCCCCTCCTCCCCTCCTCGTACCCCTGTCCGTCGCCCCGACCCTCCACATCCTCCGACTTCTCATCCCTCAGCACCTCACCACCACCATGATCCTATCGAGCGAGAGATCGGAGACGATTGGCAGCCCAGAGGAGGAAGCAGGGGAGCAGCAAGACCATCAACTACGTAGAGGCAGAATGAGGATCGGCACGACCGAAATAGGGACGATGCCCAACAGCAAACGTTTTCTCAAACAGGCAACGATGGCTGATGCGCAGTGTACGTTCGACTTCACACGCGAAACGCTCCCTTCAACCACACTGCACAAACACACACACACACAGACACACACGCACACACTGCGAGTCCTGTCCAAAACGACAGCCAGCTGCTCGCTGCTACACCGCACAAAGTCAGGGGCACGCAAACATGGATCAGAGGAGGTGCCCTCCCCAAAATGTGGCTGGTGCCGCCACGTTGGGCGGCGACAATCCGCGATTTCCCATGGAAACCGGACCCGTCGCTAATCCACACCTCCTTGATCCATGTTTGCGATCGCCTGAAACATACATGAAAAAAACGGGAAAAATAGTCGAGATCGACGACGGTGACGGAGACGTCGACGACGACGGCGGCGGCGTCGTCATCACCGCGCCTCCCGAGCGCACTGGCCCCGACATGAGGCCGCCGCGGGCAGGTTCAGATGCCGGCCGGCCCCTCGCCGCCGCTCCCCCGAGGCGGGTGAAAAAACTGCACAGACAGTAACTTTCGGTGGTCCGCGCGGATCTCTATGAAAGGGCCCAACGACACACACATAAAAACACACTAATCCCAGGATTCCCCATATTTTCTCATACTTTCTGGGTTTTCGTATTCCCCCCCACTTCCCATATTTTCCCATGTTTTCCTGGGGATCGACGATTGATCGAGTCTGTGTGTTTTTTTCAATCCTGATTCTAAGATCGGCGCTGAAACCCCCTCCGCGGCGCGCACGCCGCGCCGTGGGGCAGCGCCGGAGGGGCCGGCAGGGAGGGGGGGTCGAGCGCCACACCCAAGAGATCCGCGCAGTCACCCGAAAGCTGATATTCATGCCGATGTCTGATGTTCGGCGTTGTCTATCCATGCCGAGGTTGAATATGCTACTTCAGGTCGGGCATGTCCTCCTACAGGCGGATTTGGGATGAAAAATTAAGAATTCGCTGGCCCTGTCGGCGTGTGTGAGGGGCTTTTCCGTTCGAGTCGTCATCGCCGTCATTCGTTCATCGTCGTCTCTGTCGTCCTCTTTCCCTGCGCTTTCCTTTCCCTGTGCCGGTCGCCGCTCCTCTCTCCTTCCCTGGGCTCTCCTCCGCAAGCGCGTTAGCCAAAGCTCCTCCTCCTCCTCCTCCTCCTCCTCCTCCTCCTCCTCCTCCTCCTCCTGCCCCCCCCCCTTCCCTGGGGCCCTCGGAGCTCAGAAAGCCCCCGGCCGCGGGAGCGCGAGCGGCGAGAGGCGGGAGCGGGAGGTCCACGGCCCGAGGCCGCTCCGGGGGTGCCGCTCACCGGCAGCGCGGGGGGGCGGGGGCGGCGCAGCGCTCTCTCCGACCCCGCGAGGCCTCGAGCCGAGACGCCCACGCCCAGGCAGAGATGAGTATCGTTCAACCGATCCCCATCCCCACCAGCGTGGCCTGGGCCCCACTGGCCGATTTACCCCTAGATGGGGATATAGGCCGCGTCCTTCGGGTTTCGAGGGGTGTATCCCCCACTGGGGGGGCAATTTGGCGGGGGTCTCGAAGGGGATGGGGATGGGAATGGGGGTCGGTTAAACGATACTGAGGAGAGCCGCTCCCTGGAGGTCCCAGAGCTCCAAAAGAAAAGCTGGGGCGCGGCGGGAGTTCGGCAGTTTGGGGGGCCTCTCTCCGGGGACCCTCGCCAGGGGCCTCGGGGGGCGTCAGACAACGACTCGGGACGAAAAACTGGCCCCAGGGAAGTGGTCACGACCTCCGGGGCCCACGCACAACTACGCAGAAAGCATCTATACACCACCACCGTGCCAAGCCAGGGCCATCCTGGCCCTGGCTTGGTGCATACGCCCTCCTGGCCGAGGCCAGGAGGGTCTATACACCATCCTAGGGCCCAGAATGGGCCTGGCCTGGCCTGGCACGGCGGTGGTGTATAGATGCCTTCGTCGGCACGCATCAAACAACTTGGAGCGGCCGGATGGCTGGGGAGACGCTCGGCCCCTCGAGCTGAGGAGAGATGCAGGGGAGGGGGCCCCTGCCCTGGGAGCGCCAGAGGCCCTGGCCTCGTGAGGGGCGTCCTGTGCGCGGAGCACGCCTGCCTTCGGGAGCGGCCAAGAGGGGGGCGTCCAAGAGGGGAGGTGCAAATCATGGCCGGCGGCACGTGCGCGACCCAGGGGGGGGGCAAGGACGTATTGAAAACAAAAGGGGCGCCATGAAATCTCGGGAGATGTCATGGTCCCCGCCATGATATCCACCCCCCTAGTCATCACCACCCTCTTTGCCGCCCCCGATGCCTCGAGGCATCCCGCACTTCCCGGGCCCTGGCGGTTCGCGACTTCTCCTCCTCCGCCTCCTCCCCCTCCTCCGGCTCCTCCTCCTCCTCCTCCTCCGCCTCCTCCTCCTCCTTTTCCGCCTCCTCCTCATCGACGGGGGCGCCAGGCCCTGAGATGAATTGGGGGACAGGGGGGAGGGGGACTGGCAAGACTGTGCGATTCTTGGCAAGGTTGGGAGGACCCCATGTGGCTGGGCATGGAGCGTGCAACCGCCAAACTGTGGTGGATTTCCCTGGTGTCCGAGCCCGGCCGCTCGCGGTTCGCTTGCTGGCAAGCCGGCCAATCCGCTATTTTTTCCCGCCATCCCAACCCACAGGGCCCCGCTGCCCGCTCGCCCGGCCCACCCGTTTGGGCCCCGCCCGCCCGACCCGCCAGCGAGGGCACGCCTGCCCGACCCGCCGCTAGGGTCCCGCACGCACAACCAGCCCGTCAGTTTACACAGCACAGCGCGCACGAAGGTAGAAAGGAGTCAGGACAATGGGGCATCAATCAGCCGAACGACTGGCTGACGCCTGAGATGTAGCCACCACTACCTCGCGCTCCGCCCCAGCAGCGAGGCCCGTCAAGGGAAGCCGTGCATATCGCGCTCGCGCCATATCTTACATCCTATCCCTCCCTCCCATCCTTTTCCACTGCGCTGATTTGTTTTCCCTCCGCGGACACTGCCCATAGCCAACCTAGAACTCTACGAAATAACCCATCGTGTTACGCGCAGTCGGAAGAGGAACTGCGGCAGAACCTGTGGATCTGAGGAAAGAGGGACTTGTGGGACCTGCGCGACAAAACCTGTGGCCTGTGGAGACTGTAGGACCTGCGACACCTGTGGGTCCTGTGACCGACCGCGCGCGCCCTTGTCAGCTCTGCGGGCAGCCGAACTGGGCGCCGCGATACCTCGGAAAGTGGAAGAGGTCGAAGTCGCGCTGGCAATGTCGATCAAGCGCGTCCAGCGCGTCGCTGCGCAAGGGCACAGACGAATGCATCTTTGCGGCCGTTCCTGGGGCGATCTCTCGCAAACGCGCGAGACGAGAGAGTGAATTGTCCGTTCAACAAGGCGGACAGCTCCATCGTGATATTGTTTGCCCACAAAAGATAAGCAATGATATGTTTCCCCTGGCGATCGAATACGTACTCGCTCTGTGGTATCCAATGGCAATCCTGCTGATTTCTTCCCGAAGCATTGAGGTGCTGTCCTGCCAATCGTGCATCCTTGGAAATGCCCGCAGTGAAATTGACTGTCGAGTCGATGATGAATCTGTTCATGTCTTCGAAAGTATCCTGGTACCCTGCATCGGCCCACATCATACGACCCCACGCCCACAGACTGACTGCCCTTTCATACGGATGCTTGAGAACTGCGAACAAGGTCGGATTTTCAATCGTCACTTTAGAATCCCTTTTCATTAGGAACACTTCACCTTCGGAAGATTCCTCCTTCACCTTTGCAGTAGGAACGTGCTGGGGTGAGCAACCAAACTGTCGTCCGACGTTTCCCATGCTCGCAAATGCTGCGAGATGGAGCCTGGTGAGATTCCTCCTTTTCAGTTCGTCTTGCACATATGTGCCAGCATTCTTCGGGATGTGCACGAAATACGGCAGAGAGACGCTCATCCCTGTAGGCCACATTGTGGCAGAGAGCGCTGTGTGGACAGCGCTGGAAGAAGCCGCTTCTTCTGGGTAGTGACCAACGTGGTGAACTTCCATCGTCTCTGAATTCGTCGACACCTCCGCGCTATGACACAACACTAGCAATACAGCGACGCCAATCATTTGGATCAACATGCAGGCCAGCGATACTTTTCGAATGACGCATGTCCCCTCGGGTTCAACAAACATGCTATCGTTCTCCTCGCGTGCACGCCCAAATAACGACGAAGGCATAAGAACCAGGATGCGATGTGCTCGGAGAGCGACAGCAAGCGTGCGCCAACAACGGCTTGAGCCAAAATGGCTACGGTGGGCCGTCTTGGGGGCTTCTTGGGCCGTCTTGGAACCGTCTTGGGCCGTCTGGGGCCGTCTTGGGGCCCTCTTGGGGGCCTCTGGGGGCCTGTTGTGCCGTCCAGGGTCGTCGGGAAGCCGAAAAGGTGGAAACGCCCCAATCTGTCCAAAACCCTAAGGGAAAGCAATGAATTTTGCTTCTGTGGGTTCTCTTGGGGGTGATCCTGGAGGCCTCTTGGGGCACCCTGGAGGCCTCTAGGGCCATGTTGGAGGCCTCTTGGGCCGTCTGGATGCCAGCCTGGGCGTCGTGGAACGATCTTCGGGCGCCTCGGGCCTCTCTTGGACCGTGTTGGGGGCCTCATGAAGCGATCCTGAAAGCCCTGGGGGAGTCTCCCGGCCCGCGCCCGGGCCGCGCCAGGGCCGCGCCCGGGGTACTTTTGGTCCAGGGACCCCCATGGGCCGCCCCGCGCGCGCAAAATAGAAATATTACATAGATGTTACTGGAGATCTTAGCACGCCTCTGGCCCGTTGGGCTGGGGAATTCCAGTGGCCATGTAACCTTGTCAAGGGCTGGGGCTGACTAGAGCCTACGCAAAACCTATGCGCGCGCGAAACGCGAGCGTGGTTCTACCATCTATACATAGACATGTACAAGTAAACACACGTCACGCACGAACATACATGTACCGATCTCACAAACAATCGACCAACCGACATCATTACTCAAAAGCATAAACAAAGATTACACCGCATCTGACAATACCATTTCCACTATTTATAAATCCCCATATTCACTTGTCAGGCTGTCGTATCTACCGGTATCACTATCAAATCTCTGCCGATATCTCTCTATGTGCATCATTGAACGGGACCATCACGGGTCAACTACTTCTAGGCCACGGGGCAACCATCCCAGAAAAACGGTCAACAATCGGACTGTAAAAAGTATGCTGGCGAAAAACTCAACCATGTGCAATTGTGGGCACCGCGTTGTGAGTACCGCTTCCGGTGGACTCCCTTCTGGACCACGAAACGAGTGAAGAGTATGCCGTGATGGGTAGGGGACACGCGTGCGAACGCGGCCACTGGTGTCTTGGATGCGGCTCCCTGGGGCCACGAATCGCTGTACTGGGCGGAGGGGGCGCATGAGGCCGCGGCCACTGGGGCCTGCGATGGAGCACCCCATGAGGCCACGGAGCGCTGCACTGGGCGGGGGAGACGCAAACAGCCGCGGCCACTGTAGCGTTCGGTGGAGTTCCCAATGGGGCCACGAAACGCTATACTGGGTGGTGGACACCCCCCCCAGCACGCGCGCAGGGGCGTTCGAATGAGTTCGACATGCGGCGCGAAAGGTTCGTTTGGCAGAATGTGATACCATGTTGAAAAACTGAAGACCTATGGTTTCCTTAAGACTCCGCATAACCGCGGGCGTAGGCATGTTTGAAAACTGACCATGATTTGATGTATGTGTTCGGCACACTCGTGTTTGAAATCCTTGCGCAACCTAAAAAGTTTCGGCACGCGCACGCGACGACGCGCGCGCTGACGTCGTCTCGTTTTTTGTTATGGATTAGTGCGACAGCACGCGCGGAAAGGCTTTCGAGCAATTTCGACTCGCGCGGGCGAAAGGCCCGTTTGGCAGCATTTGACGAAAATGTGTGTATGCTGTTAGTTTGTTTCGTGTGTATATAAGCGATGGTTTTCTGAAGAATTCGCAAGAACGCGGGCGCAGGCTTTGTTTGAAAACCCGTGTTGCGAAACCATGTGTTTCAGACTTTGCCAAGGCACTCGAGTTTGAAACCCCTACGAAATCTAAAGTTGTGGAAATAGGTCGTCATGCGCGCGCGACGACGGCGACGACGCGCGCGTGCGCACTTCGTCTCAATGGTTGCAAGGGATTCTTGTTTTGTGAAAGATGAAGGGATAAACTCCGGCTGGCTGCGATGGTACGAACCCATATGTGGGATGGACGATGGGGCAGAATCACAATACGAAAGCGTGTTTCATTACCCCCGGGGGGGAGAAATTCGGAATTGACAACTCTATTGCTCGCGAAATCATCCCACCCGCCCACCCGCAATTTGCGCTGCAAAACCCATGCGGCGGCGATTACG